TCTAGTGCTGTGCAGGGAAAATTGACAGGGTTTGGTTATAAAAAGATGAAACAGGAAGGAGAGGAACAAAGAAAGACAAGACCCAACACACACAGACCTCAGTGACAAATGATAGATTCTTATTTTCATCTACCGGTCTTAAAATTGCCATCTAACGTGCAGGCAAGCTTGTGGCTTTTCCCCAGGAGGGGCCTGGGGCTGCCACGGTAAGCTGTGGCGTAGGTGATGTGTAGAGGCTGGGGCTCCCAAAGTGGGACCTTTTCTCTAGGGGTTGAAAGGCCACGTGTGGTGTGTGGAGCATGTTACGTGCCTCAGGACGGAGTCTGTGAAGGCCAGCACAGCAGCCGGGTGCTCTCTGGCTGGGGAAGGACCGAGGGTGCAGCTTCGTGCCTGGCTTAGGGTCTTCCAAGGCAGCAGCGTGGGTGACCCTCTGGTCTCCTCGCGCTGAAACCAATGCAGAGAGCAGTCGGAGCAGAGCTACGATCCACCTGCAGGCTGTCTGGGGAAGGGTCTGTTTTCTTTCAGCAGCGATCGGGGCATTGGTCATTGGAAACGGACTGTGAACCCACAGTGTGGGGAGAGGGTTTGCGTGTCCAGCTCCCCTCTCGTGGGCTCTTTGTGCCAGGTTCCGGGCAAGTGTTGGACCAGAGCATTTCTCCTCTTGTCAATTTTCTCTTTTTAGGACAGAAGGGTCTGCCTTGCACTTTTCCATGCAATCAGGGTGAAGGTAGTACAAACCAAATCCTTGGTAGGCATCTTATTATGACCTTTTTGCAGTGGGTATTCAGTGTGCTTAGATGCCACAGACAGCGTTACAGCCTCTGGAGGACAAGTGCTTTCGAGGCAGGAGCCCTTAATTGAGACAGCTTGTGTTTGTAGTAACAAACATGCAGCAGACTTTACATTTGTGACTTTTATAACTTCAGTGCAAATACTGACTCACTGCACGAGCCATGTCCAGATTTTCACCCCTTATAAAGAAGTTACAGGATGGTTACTTTTTGGGTGCATTACCTTTTGCCAGATGTCTTCCCAAGCATCTCATTTTCAAATAGTCCTCCATCTTGATGTGAAGCATAGTGACTCACAGCATGGGTGGTGACTCACTGATATCAATTAAACATTAGGATCCTGAAGGTGTGACTCCTTAAGCTTTGACAAAAAAAATGCTGTCACAACATGAAAAAAACACTTGCAATATATTGCACATCTGCATAGGTGGCAAATTCTCTACATTGCTGTACTGCTATGAAAAAAGCTTTTGGTTTTTAAATGTTCCCTTTCCAGCGGCATATTTTGTATATAGTTATTTTTGTTTCAGCATAACAATACACTCCTATTGGTTTAGCAAGTCACTTTATCAGATATCTTGCATTAGGAGGATGGATGGAGGACAGAAAGCAGACAAAACCCAGGGACACAAAAAGAAATCCCACGGAGCACTGTAAATTTAGCAGCATCCTTCCTTTAGGCTGGGCGCTCTTAACTCCCAAGTGGGACACCAAGGGATTCAGCCAGAGCAGTTACAGGATTTAACAGTCTCCCTGCTTGTAACAGATTAATCTACCTTTTGTAAGAGGCAGTAGAGGATTACTGTCTAGTCTCCAGCCAAAACAATCTCCCAGTGCAGATTTACTTGGAGTGCCACTTGAACTGTCATCAGCGCTGTCCAGCCCAGCGTTTTGTTCTGCAGGGACATGGAAGCCTGTCACTCCTTTCTCTGTGGAGCAAATTTGAGTGTCGTGTTTGCGGGATGAAACTACTGGCACTTACAGAGGACCTGCCACAGCTCCGGGCACGGCTGTGCCGTGTGGGCACGTGTCAAATACTCTCTGCTCTGCCGAGCCCAGGTGTATGTAAGGGGAGAGACAGCGTTGATGCTATATAATGGTTCCTGCTTTATTTCTAGCTCTTCAAAGCTGAGGCTGCAGTCCTCTGCCTTTGGCTTTTCCATGGGGAAGGGAAGGGGGAGCACAGGTCTCTGGCAAAATTCCTGCACTTTCAGCATGACAAAGCCTTGCTGGTTTGCTCTGTTGCTGTGTTAAGATGGGTGGGACGATACACTAGCTATTAAATATGTATTTTGTCCTATTAATGTCATCTTTACCTGAGGCTGCTTTTGACTGCAGCATCCATTTTTCTTTTGTGCCCTCTCCTTATTCTTCTGTCTTTTTGCGAGTTGAATGCCCTGGTGGCACCCACCATTGTCCTGCCGAATTTATTCTGGATAACTGCTTCACGGCAACCTCTCTGGTTTGTGACAGCTGCCGGAGGAGAAACTGGGGTATGCTTGAGCTCTGAGTACTGAGCGAGTAATTTGGGGTTGTGGCAGATTCTCTGGAAGTTTGTGTAAAAGCAACTGTTGAAATATTTCACCGTTTCCCTATTTACGAGTTCTGAGGGTTTTGGAGAGCGAGAGATTCGGGGAAGGTCAGGGGCTGCCTGCGTCTGTCAGCACCCGTGTTAGGCTGCCCTTGTGGGCTTGGGGGATCAGCTCTGATTTATGCTGGCCTGCAGAGTGGGTGCTTAACCAAGGGCAGGAAGGGCCCAGATGCAGGATTTGCAAGGAAATACTTGTTTTTATTTTCAGAGCAGCTGGGGAGTTGGGCAATAGCCTTAAAAACAAACAAACGATGACTCGCAAATAAGTTATCAAAAGGAGTGGGTGCATTTTAGGCAGCACTGAAGGACGTGCTGATAGATTGACTTTTCTTCTGCTTTTAAACTCTTACTCTGTGTGCCAGTGTGCCAAAGTGGTTTGACATCTGTTGTCCTGGCCTGAAATTTCACAACGGCCCTTCATGGTTGGAAGAGCCAAAATCTCATGAACCTTTACCTACGTGTAATCTGGTACTGCACATTCTCTGCCTGGGGCTCATGCAAGGGCTGGCTCTCTTTGACTAGCAATAGTGAGCTGTGAAAATGAAAAGGCACCGGGATATCTGCTTTTTCTTTTTGCGCTTGGATGACATCACCGTCCCTCTGACAGCAATAAAATTAAAAATTAACAACTTGTAGAGATTGCCTTTAAAAAAATGTTCTTGTATAAATACGACTTTTTAATAAACTTAATTTGTTCTCTACAAACGGAAATGATTTCTCAGTTTTAAGCAGCATATACACCTTCTGGATTGTGAAAATAAACCCAGAGCATTTGAAAGCCTGCCTGGAGCTCAGATGTATTTCCTGAATTTTGTTTTGTTTGCGGCTTGTCTGGGCAGGTACTTTTCTTTGCTAACTGGAGATGGGTTCTATAATTGCAAATATTAGGAATTACATTTCCCCCACTTGCTAAATACTTCTAAAAAGTCAGCATCTTCGGAGAGCAATTCTCACTGCCTTGCTGAGCTGTTTGCTGCAAATAATTCATAGCTATTTGGTGGAAAAAATACTTGCTCATACTACTTTTGGTTCCTCAGTGCCTTCAGTCTGTAGGTTGGAGGATCAGACATGTATGTCCCAACTTCTACAAGTCAGTACAGTGAGGAACTCAAAAATACATTTAACTAAAACAAAAAGCCTGGGCCTGAAAGCTGGCATGTTTCTTTTGGCCACAAAAGTGCTATACTTCTTGGGGAGATGGTATATTATAGGGAGGACATCTCCTGTGATGTTGAACGAGGGGGCTGAGTCAGAGCTAGCCTTATTTGTGGAAGGGCTCTATGTCATGGAAATGCTTAAAAGAGCAGCGCACCTAATTGAACTCTTTTGAGGGAAGCTTTCCTTTCTTTTGAAGTTGCATCTGACTCTTAAAAATAAATTGCATACTTTTACATTGCGTTTTTGGCCATGAAACTTCAGTTACTGGTGTCAGAAGGGCTGCTACTATTACATTACACACGAACAGCCATTTATTCTGCAAAGTTTCAGTTCTGGAGTATCTGACTCTCCAAAGTTAGCTGTACTTATTTTTCATGAAATGTGCATGGCTCCCATTACCATCAATATTTGAACACTTCACAAACCACGAACAAACATATCTTCCTACATTTATTCAAGGGTACAATAGTACTATCCACACTTTACACATAAGAGGGATTAAGTTACATGTCTGAGGGCAATGAGGATGTTGGGCTAAAGCCAGGAATGCAGCCTGGCTCCCCTGAGGCGCAGTCTAATGCCTCAGAGGAAAATGTCTTGGAGTTTAGGGAAGCCTTACTAGAAACCTTGCTGTTCCCATCTTTCTCATGGGAATAAGGCAGTGCCCTAATGAGGGGGTGCCCAAAATGGTCCATTTTCTCTTCCTTTGGACAGAAAGGGTAATTTCAGTATCAGGCGTAGCTTTAGTGTGGAGGTTCAGCCTCTGTCTGAGCTGTGAAATGTCGCTGTGGGAGCTGCTGTCCCAAGGAGTCGCGTGGCTGCGCTGGGCTCTCCGGCTGCCCTGTCTGGACTTGGCTTTTCAGACCTGGTTTGGCGAGCCGTGCCGTTGGTCAATCTTCATCCCCTTCCACCGCCTGGGGAACCGGGATGCTTTTCTGAAAGCAAAAGCGTCGTGACGCTTTGTCCTTGGGAGCTTGGAGCTAACGGCCACCAGGGGTCTGTGGCAAAGCAGCTGCTTTTCCCCATGTTTCCAAGCGGCCCTCAGGAGGTCAATAGGAGAACTTGCTCTTAAATGGTCGGGCTCGCTGCCGGTGGGCTTCGCGGGGCTCTGGTAGTAGGTGTCTGGGCCTGCTACGGTGAGACGCTCAGCTACATCAGTACTGCCAATATTGGAGATATGCCACTTAGTCTAAACTCATGTGGCCTGGAGAGGGGGAGACTTGAGCGTTGGATGTTGTCATTTTATAGTTAAGGGCCTGATAAAGCTCACTGAAGTAAACAAGTCTTTAATTTGCTGCTTGGGGTCCGGGTTTTGACTTGAGGGGGAAAGCTTTCCTCTGCCATTTCCATGCGCTCCTGCTAGGACTGAAATTTGGAAGAAGCTCTATACCAACGTTAGTATGTTTAAACGCATCTGAGAATAACCAATTTATTTCAGTTTATCTGTCTTTTTCTTCCAGTGGGATCTTGTTTGTGATTCTGCCTGGAAAGTTCACATTGCTAAATTCTCCCTACTGGTAGGATTAATCTTCGGCCACTTAATAACAGGATGTATAGCTGACTGGTAAGTGAAAAATCTTTTGATGCAATGTAACTATAAATAAATAACAATATTAAATATTGTTTAGATTTTCTTCTACTTTATATTCATGAAGAACCTTTGCATAATGATTTTTCTCACTTTGTGAAAGAAGCATGATGAATAAACAGTTTAAAACTGTGTTAATTGCTTGACCTGCGTAATTTATATCAAAGTAAATAACATGAAAATAAGCTATTTGATAGTTGACTTAGTTATTTCCCGCCAACACAATTTATTACAGCTGTAAAGCTAGTACAGAATTAAGTATTTTCTAATTATACAAGTGAAGTCTTTAGTTTAGGGCTTGCTTTTTTGTTAACCAAGAGCTACAGCCAAAAGAAATTGGGAGGGGCATTGATTTGACTGAATACGAGACTAGTGTAATGTCAACCTTGTGCTTACACAGTATTTTTCAGGGGGTAGAAGGCTGTTTTTTGCAAACCTTTCTATTGTTCTATTTTTTAAGTTCTTGTTAAGCAAACATTTTGATGTAGTGTTAAGGAATTGCTGACTTATGTGCTGTTAATATTGGGGTATTAAATTTAAAAGCATAGAGTGCAGTTCCTTAAATTGCAGTAGTGAAAACATTATTGGATACCCTGGTTATTCTGAGAGTTCAGCTTTTATTTAAAGAAAGGGTCTTGTAGTGCAAAAGGGGGGGGAGGGATCAAAGGCATGACTCAAGTGATTTCAATGGAAACTTGCAGCATCTGAAACAATAGCTCCGCGATGCTGTCCCAGTCATTTCAGTGGTTTCCAGCACAGTTGCCAATGTTGGTGCTTTAAATGGCCCCAAGTTAACTCTTTTGCCATTCATTAAAACAGGAAAGGAAGAAGAAGAGTTGCCTGTTAGGGAAATCTTACAAAGCCTCAGCAACTCACCAGTTAGTTGGGAGAGAAAAGGTCCCCTCCAGCTGTGCAATAATTTGGCTCAAGCATTTGTAGCAAAATTGCTTCTTAGTTCTTGAATAGTCACTTAAAATTTTTAGGCAAGTGAGGAATCACGAATTTTCAGTGAAGTAGGGGACATGCATGATGAATACAGTTGAATTTGATTAAAATACCAAATTAAAACAGGGCTTTAACAACACGTAGAAAGTACAGTAGGGAAGTGAATGAGGAATCTTGCTCAGTTTTCCTAAAAAGGAATCAGTGTGGAGAAAGCAGACTTATTCCCAAGTTAGGAAAATGCTGCTATGATTGACAAATAAGTCACAAATAAGTGAACAACTTGTTGCCTAAGGCACTGGCTTCAAGAGAGAATTGCAGTAAGCACATTTAATAGCTCTCTGCCACCAAAAGGAGCATCCTGTTCTCCCATCCATTTGTGTCCCTAGCGTGTACTTTGTGCTGCCACGTGTGCTTGTCAGATACTTCTGCAAGCTGCTTAGCTGAGCTAATGCAGCATAAAATTACCCTGATATAAAAATGAGGTATTTTTCTCTCTTTTTTTTTTTTTTTTTTGTAGTGAGTTTAGGAGAGCTTAAGGAGAATCTGGTTTCCAGCTGTGGTGCAAAGAAAAAGGGTAACTTGGTGGCTGGGGGGAACAGTGACCCCCTTGCCCTTTCATGGGTGACCAGAAAGGATATGGTTTGCTGCCACCAAAGCCAGTCCTCGTGCTCCTCTTCAGTCCCCATCCTTGCCATCTGATCTAACTGACCCAGCAGGGATCCTGCACTGGATAGTCTTTTTGTCATTTAGCGGTAGCGTTTGGGGCTCGTAAAAGAAGACCTAAATGGGATTTACTTTGCTATTTAGTCACAACTTGAGTTTCCACTAGGGCAGGAGGTTGTGTGGAGGGACAGATACAAAGGGGATTGTACCTTTAAAAAGAGAAAAAGAAGGAAAAAAGGATGTTGGTCTCAAGCAAGAGCAGGGGAGATTAAACAGAGTAATGTATAAAAGTGTTACAAACTTTCAAAATCTGTTTTCACTTCACTTATATACCACTCTCCAGTTTAGATAATTAGAAGATGGTTTGGGTTTTTTGTACCATTAGGGTTTGGGGCTTTGCTTTTCCTTTTTGAAAGAAAGCTTTTAAAGCTGTATGTGGTAAAGGTGTAGACTATATTAAGGTAATTTGCTAAGTAAACTGAGTGGGCTATGTTCAAAATGCAGTAGGTGTGCACGCTGGGATATCTGTGTGTGGAAAATCTATAGGAAGAAGGTCTGTAAACAAGTTCGGCTGTGTGAAGACCAACTGTGTCCAATGCCTGAATAAGTTACTTGTTCAACAGGCAGAGCACTGCTGGCAATTTTGCCTGCTCTGGACAGAGGCTGTTGAGGTTTCTGTGGAAGGCTTCCTTCTGGAGCAGGTGGGCTTGGTGTTCACGTAGCATCAAGACAGTGGGTCTCTGCCTCTCATTTCCCAGTACTGCCCCTGCTTTGCACCTGCTCTGGTGCTTTTTGGAGCGTTTGTGCCAGTTCAAGTCCCAAAACCTGCAAAGAACAGCATGGGAAGAGCAATTTGATCAGCTGCAAGAGCAAAGCTTAGTCTTTTGAGGGTGGCAAGGTACATGTGTAGGAGCATGCGAAGAGCGGGTCTTGTCATCAAACCCATTCACTTTCCCCCTGTGGTGCAACTCTGACTACGTTAGGAGTATCTTTTTGATGCATCTGCATATCACACTGTGTGGATTGCAGATTCTTCAAAAGCCTGGGGTTGCTTGTATCCCTAGTTATTTATCTGTGCAGGCAGCATTTAGCATTTGATCTGCATAATAGTATGCAGTGCAGGCTGAGACTTTCGTGGCACGGAAATCTCTCTCTGGAATAGTTTGGATGGCAGCAGATAGCATCCTGGGGCTGTTTTACTAGGGAGATTGTCTGTGGTTTGATTTCTCACAAGCATTTCCATGTACTGTTAGTCAGATAACTCTATCTACACATAAAAGGCTTTTTTGATACTCTAAGACACCATCCTGTCAAAACGCTGCTGGATCACCAAATGTATGGCTGATAGCTGCTCTGGAGTTTTGATTTTTGAGGAATGTACTGCATGCCTTGGTGAGGAAGGAGACTAGTTTTGTGTCTGGGAGGAGGTGCTGATGGTGCCTCTTACCAGAGGGCTTATCTGGCCTCAGTTGGCTTTCACAGGCCAAGGAGGGTCTTGGATTTCCTGATTCTTCATTAGCAGCAACCATTCATCTGCATAACTTGTATAATGTTAGGAGAAATTCTATGTCCTAATGATGGATAACCTTGAGTAAAGAGAGTAGGAGGAGGGGAAGAAGGGAACTGATGTCTGCTAAGCATGAGGTCTTTTTTAATCAACGTCAGGGAATGGCAGGTCAGGCTTGTGATGAGAATTAAGTTCCTAATTCTGAGTGTTTGCATAATGCCTTTCATCTACAAAACACTTCCACAAATACTAATTAGTATGAATTACATCTTGGCAATTACGAAAATAGGGCTGCGAAAGTCTGTGCAGATCGCTGATAACACAAAGTTCATAGGGTGCTTTTTTTTCTGTATTCAAGGTTTCGTATGAGGTACTTCCCCTCCCTGCCCAAGTGCTTTGTGTTCCATAAATATAAAATCTGAAGCACACACAGCAGTAACTGCCCCAGTGTCCAGCATGTTCCCAGTGCGTTGCATATCACCGAGGCAGTGATGTTGTGTTCCCACCCTCAGCTCATCTTGTGGTGGGCTGGGTTTGTACGTCGACTAAGAGCAGTCTGCTTTGACCTTGCCATCTTCAGTTTGCACGTTGGCACTTTCTGTTTTAAAAACATTGAATGGTTAATGCCAACAAGTTAAATCTTTGAGGTGCCCCACATCACCCATCGGGTGATGCTACAGCTGAAAAAAATAGTAAACCTGTCCTCATGCAAGGACCTATGACGTCGCCTTCTTAGGTGTGACTTTGAAAAAGCGTGAATAGTGACACACATGCTGGTGCACTCTTCTAGTTCCCAAAAATGTCAAAAATTATAACCATGTCTCCTTTTCAGCCCTTCACCCCATATTTTATTATCTTGTTCCATTTTAAGTAAAGCAAAATCCAAAGTTTTAATTGTGGATGCATAGATACAATATACTTTATAGCTGCTAGTAACAATCTGCTGAAATAACTGAATAGAAACGCTTCAGTATGTGGAACTGGACTAAGTTGGGAGATTTAAATGTGCTTTATTGTGCTGACATTCCACCTGATGGCTGGCTTGCAGCTGACAGACTACTTTGAATGGGTTTGTGAAAGCTGCCTACGAAAAGCAAGTTTGTATATTCTTTGTGGAAACGGCATATGGAGCTGACTAAAAAGGATCCTCACTTCCACTGGAAAATTTGTGGGAGTTGACAAGTTGAAAAATTTTGGAAATCTCCACATAAAGATCCAATTCTTGCTTAAAAATAGACATGTGCTCTGGTGCTTTGTATCATTCTCCTTGCAGAGGAAGAGGGAGGGGAAAGGGGAATTATAAACACTAAGCATAGGAGTAAGAGATGTAAAAATCTCATTTTCCTTTGACATAAAAGAGCCAAACTCTGCAGCAAGTGTCCCACGATCAGTGGCAGCATAGCTCTTCCTCCTCGTTGGCACTGCACCAACACATGCAACTGCAGGTTGCCCTGCAAAGCCTGCCTGCAAAGGAGGACTGCAAATCCTCACGCCCCTGTTGCCAGTAATCATTTTTGGAGCAGTTTCTTCCTCACCCTCCAGTCAGGCTGGTTTTGCGGGTCTCTGCAGCCGCTGTGGAAACACAAGGTGGAGGGACTTGGAGCTCACAGTTTTCCTGTGCGCATTACTATTGGCTCTCTAAGTCTCAGTGAAGCGACATGAGCCCTGTTTTGTGCTTGGTCCGTGTTTGTTAGGCTTGCCCTCAGCAACAAGGCCAAGAAAAGTAGTTTTTTGAGCCAGCTCCTCTTGCAGATGAGGCTGAAAAGCACGTGTCTGTTGGGAAGAGGAGACCTCTGCAGTAAGCTCTGTGGCTGTAGACTATAGAGAAATAATAATGTGCCATGTAACATATAATACCATACACTCTCCCGTGCTATTACAGAAAGCTCTGAGAAGTTGCTTTTAATCTCCAAGGGACTTCTTTATGGCCTTACTGCAGTTCCTAGATGTTTCCTTGTTAACCTTTGGTGTTTTGAAAATGATGGTTAAATCACGCAGTAATACAATGTGCTGTCTCTGCTTAATCCCATCTGAAACGAACTTGTCAGTGCCAAGCTGGCTGAGGAATCTGGGTTTTAGTAAGTAGAAAAAAAATGAGAAGAATGGAACAAGCATTAAAAACGGGTGGCAATATTTGGAAGGGATTGCATGACTTATTCCCCTCTTTGCCAGTTATAATGATCTAGCATTGTGTCCATCCTGGCTTTTAACACTGTTTCTCCATACTTCCTTATTTTTAGGGTTGGTCGACGGCCTGTACTGCTCTTCTCTGTCATATTCATTTTGATATTTGGACTGACTGTGGCACTCTCAGTGAACGTGACCATGTTCAGCACACTCAGGTTTTTTGAGGGGTTTTGCCTGGCTGGAATAGTCCTCTCCCTGTACGCACTGCGTGAGTATGCCTTCATCAGCCATCCAAACGTGTCTTTATCTAGTGCGTGGTTTGCTGTTCTCTGGCTTCCCACTTTTGTCCAAACAGATCAAACCAGAATCATATGGACTGAAAAAGCTTTGGCCTGAGTTTTGGTAAGGAGGTAGGGATTTTGCAGCTGTCTCTTTAGGTTGCTACAGAGCAGTCTGTGAAGCTGTTTCAGAGATCATTTTAAGAGAGTTATAAGGTGTTTTTGGTTTGCTTTTTGTTATTTAAACCTAGAAGTCATCTGTGTCATACCATAATGTGTAATGGGAGTGGATTTCACCTTGCAGTATTGGGCTCAGTAGGAGACTCCTTGCTTTCGCTGTCTCTAGCAGTACATATTCTGGCACTTTTTCAGAAATTCCTCTGTTACTTGCAGCAAGAGATCCCATGTCCCTGCCTCAGGATTGTAAAGTACAGCAAAAATATGTGAGAAGAAGAGCCTGAAGTCCTTTTATCAAGATTTTTTTATTGTTGTTTTGTTGTTAGTTTTGTCTGTTTCACAAAACTACCACTGAAGACATTACACCTTTATTGGGAAGTGTTTTAACCTGTGTGGTTCCTGTGGGAAGGGGCTTCAGCCATTACCAGTATGACATTCAGCTAGAAATTAGGCTTGTTGGGACTTTTCACAGCCCAATGCAGCATGTTAGTTTTTCTTGGTTGGTGTTTGGTTTTTTTACTTTTAAGAGAGTCATTGCAACTGAAGATTTTCATGGGGAAATGCCATCTAAGTAAAAGTTTAATTATGGACCTTCTGAGATCAGAGTAAGAGAGTGCATGCGCCACCTTAGATCAGACAATAGCTTGCCAGACAAGGCTTTCATTCAGCAAATGGGAGATCCTGGTTAGTTTATGCTCTGCTTGATCCAGAGCAAGGACTTGAGTCTGATTCCCCCCTATAATTCAAGTGTTTGCTATAACTGCTGCATGTCTGTCTCCATTGCAAATGGGCAGCTGACTGGATAAACAGTGCACAAATAGAGCTAGTAGGTGTTAGAAGAGTTCTGTGTGAAATTAGCTGCCGCCTGAACATCAGTGCACTTCTATGGAAGTGAGGAAATGTGAAAGATGCAGCACCTGCACCTCTGGTAAATCTTCTAACCTTCTGGCTGCGGAGGTACCCACTGAGGGCAGTGGGGTTTTCTGTATTAAATATTTTCATTTAAACAAACAAACAAACAAGTTGTCATCTTGGTGTAGAGTAGTGGGAGAGGATTAATCCCTAAAGTCTTATGAGAATGGGAGAAACAAGGGGTTTTGTTTTGTTATTGGTTTTGGTTTTAGTACTCAATCTGTTAGGCTTCCTCTCAATTTAGATTTACTATTTTTCCCCTTCTGCTAGAGTCCGTAGCATGCCATTGCACTCCTTTGTGGAGTCATCTTCTGTTTCATAGCCCCTCTTCCCTTTCTCTTAATGGCCTTGATTTCTTCCCCTGGAGTTTTGTTGCCCCTGAATTCCCGGCTGGCTGCCCTGAGCAGAACAACAGAAAGTGGAAAGTTTGATCTGCTAGATGCAGTCATTAGCCGAAGTTCTCAAAGCTACTGTGCGGAAGCAAACTGTATAGGCTTGCATAGCCTGCAAAGGTAATTAGCCTGCCACAGGAATCCTTTACACTGTGTTGAGCTTGCTAGTTGTGCTTGGATTTATAGCCTGCCCAAGGGAAATTGTAAATAACAGTTCTGGATGCTTTGGGAGCGGGAAGAGCACTGAAGTGCTGTCTTTAAAACGCAGAGCTGCCAAGGTTGAGTTGCCCTCACCATTCAAACCGCACTCTTCTTAATAGTCTAACGCTGTTTTTCCTACCTGTCTGCCCTAACATGCAGAGCGAGCCCAGGGATGAGCCTTGCCTTCTGTGGAGGGACAGCACTGAGCCCGAGCCGCCTGTGCTCCTCTGCGGGCTTTCCTCAGTGTTGTAGTGAGCTAGCTTCTTGTGGCCTCCACGTACAGCCTCTTGCCTGGAGCTGCTTGGGACTTGTCTAAAGAAACCACTTTTTGATGTTGATTTGTTAAACTGAAAAGTTTTCCCGCAGCTGCTGTAGTTTTGTTGGGAAATGTGTTTCAAGCGAAATTTCTAGTGGTCTTGCAGGAAGAGACAGGCTTTGCACAGGTGATGGTGCTCGCTGCGAAGGGGGGAAGTGGAGGAGAAGTCAACCCAGGGCTTTCTCCTCCTGGGTGCTGCGGGTCATTTCGTCATCTAGGGGAATGAAAGGCAGTTAATCCTCTTCCACTGAACAAACACACACAGCTTTGAAAGGCTTTTGTTTCATGCTGATGTGGAGGGGGAGAGCTTCTACGTCTTCCAGGTACTGGGTTTCCTGCCCAGTACCAGCCTTCAATGGGTTCCTGTGCTCCTGAGCAGCTGGCACACGTCTTGGCTGGTGAGGCACCAGCAAGGTCCTCAGGAAGCTCTTCCCAGGAGGGCGAAGTGGCTCCCGATGTGCCAGGCTTGGCAGTCATCTGATGCACAGAGCTGGAGCTGCCTGCTGTGATATGCTGGTTAGGTCCCGTGCTATGTTTGCCAAGCAGATTTCTGCAGAAATGGGCTGCCCCTTGTTGGAGGAGGTGCTGGGACTGGAGGCAAAATCTCCTGGAGAGAGAAATGGTGGAGGGGTGCTAAGGAGCACTCCGGTTGGAAGGGGATGTATGACCTGCCCAACAGTTAAACGTAGAAAAGAGTGTAGATTGGGGGGATGGAGGAGGACAGGTTGTTTAAGAGAAAGGAGGGGAAAAGCTATTTTTTCTGAGGGTGCCTTTTGTTCCAGTATTTGTTGCTGCATGCACATCTAGGGAGGAAGGATGGGCGTCCTGCACCTGCTGGCTCAGCACGGTTGGATGCATGGCACCGTAGCCTGCTGCCCAGCTGAAGAAGAGGAGGAGGTTTGAGTTTACTCATTGGGGTGGAAAGCCCTAAGCCGGTCCTGTGAGGAGTTTCCTTTGGACAGGCCGAGAGGGAGGGGAAGAGGTGCGGGAGCCCTGAGCAGGGACATGTGTGCCTGAGTAATGCCTCAGCTGGTGTCTGTGGACTCATACAGAAAGCGAGGTGTGCCACTCTTACTGCAAATAGCTCTGCTTGCTGGTTGCAACTCATGTGGGACAAAGTACACTCAGCAAATGTGGAAGTCACAGGAGAAAGCAAATCTGATTATCTCAAGGGTGGGAAGGGTGTTGCTTCTGGGTCACTTTAGTCTCACTGGGGCATTGCCTCAGCCGTGACCCCGGGGCAGCCTTTTCCTGCATGCTTGTGCAGAAGGCCAGATGCGACGGCTGACTCAGCGTGGGTCCCTTTCTTAGGGCTCGCTTTCACGAGCTGGTGTGAGCTGATGCAAGAGCTCGCGTGGCTGAGGGCAGGAGTTCCTCCTCCCCGTTCTCCCCCTCTCCTCTCATGTGCTGCTGCCCAAGCCGTGCTGGCACCAGCGTCTGCCTGAGCCCTCTGCAAGGGAAGCCATCCACACCTTCCCTCTGGAGAAGACCAAGTGTGCTGTTGTCAGTGGGATGTGCCCTCTGGTCTTGTCTCCTTTTCCTTTGGGAGTCCTTCTGCTGGGCATCACATCCCTTGCGCTGCCTGAGCCTGGGGGATAGAGCGGGAGCGTGGCCCCACACCATGCAGGACCAGTTAAATGGATGAACAGAAGCAAGGGTTCCCTTCCAGCTGATCACTTCCTATGCTGCATCTGTCTCCTCCCCGACATCCCTGCTTTTGTTACTTTCTGGAGTCGAAGCTAGGATGATGGTATTAATTAAACTATTCAAAGGGGAGAAGAGGAGGGGAAGAGTTGTATTTTTCTGGCAAATGCTCCCGGTAGGTTTAACGAGCCTCCCGTTAAAGTGCTGTGTGCCATCGCTAATGACTGTACCTGAGCTCAGACAGCACAAGGCATGGTGCGGATTTGCACGAAATTGCAGGCTGTTCAGTAGTTTCATGGGTGACTGAACTACAGATTACACTGTAGAATTAGAAAGTCTAGACTTGAATGAACCAGTAAATAGGCTCTGGAAATAGCTTTGCTGAAAGGGAGACAACATTTTCTCAGGTTGGAGCGAGGAAGCAGGGGTGCCCCTCTGATGCATAGTAGCAGGATGAGCAGGCATGCTGTTTTCTCTTTCACTGTTAGGAGAAAAAAAGTAGAAATGCTGTTGAAAATCATAGGTTGTGTTTCAAAAGACTGGATAAGCTTGGCAAAGGCTTCCAGATGGGTTAAGATGTCCAGCTGTGATGTATCTTTCTCATTTAGAGCTAGGTCAATCTAACCTGTTACTCCTGTAAATTGCACAGGCACTGATCTGAGAAGAGACTAAATGTGGCTGCTTTAGATTTTTATTTTTTTTTTAACATGTATCCTGGAAAGCCAGAGCAGTGTGCTAGAAAGCTTGCTCCAGACTGAAGAATGAGCAAGTGCCAAAACGGAGCGTGGAAGCCTCTGGGTGTTGGGCTGTAGTGATGTCAGATTTGCAAAATAATTTTGCTTCCAGTCAGGTGTCAATATGAAGGGTGAGATTTATCTCTTTTTTTTTTTTTTCCTCTCTCTCTTCCCCCACCCCCCCTCTTCCCCCCCTCCTAGAAGTGTATAGGCTCTGAGATCCTGGAGCACCCCGAGTTTATAATTCCCACCTCCCTTGGAGTTTGAATGGTCTAAACAATACAATTGCTTGATTTTTATTGTCCGTTTTCCTCTCATCACTCTTCAGTAGCAAGGCCTCGGCTAGGCAAGGCAGGTGAAGCACTGGAAACGGCAGGCTCCGAAGTTGTTCTGTGTAATCCGAACCGGCTCAATAAATAACTCTGCAACGCATTCCCAAATCGGAGGATGTGGAAAACATCTGACTGCTTTCCAGTGCATTGACATGTGCTTTAGCTCTGCAGTAACGTGCCGTTCTCTCCGCTGACAGGTCTGTGATAAGATCAAGGTTGTTAAGCCACCTACCTTCTGTTTATGTAACCAGCCTTTCCTTGCTCTGAGTCACTTGACACAGA